CTCAAGTTAAGTAAAGCAATAGAGATAGGAGTGATTTGCCTGGAAGCAAGGAAAAGATCAACATGGGATTGTTCAGAGCCCTTATTAGCCATGTCTACACGTACCGATTTAAGGCACATTAGCCATTTTAATGGCACTTTAAGGGCATGGGTCTACACTGTACATTAAGTTTAGGTACACGTAAAAGCACGTGTAGATGTGCCCATTGCCTCCATACCAGCTTGACTAGCCTTAAAAATCTGTCAGGCCTGGGCCATGCTTCCCCATGCAACAATGATGATCTATTGCTCTCCACAGGATCTGGGACCTCATTCAAATCCAACAGTAAACTAAGAACTGTCCAAAAAAGCTTAGAATCTAAACATGAACAGGACTTTGGATACAAAGCACTAAGGATGTTGCCTCATTTTATTTTTTTTAACAGAGAGAAAGGATGACCCTACAATGCTACCCTAAACTTGCTACATTCTGGCTACAATGCTACCCTAAACTTGGTAAGCCTGGCTTCAACTCCTTACTCAGCTCAAACATCCTATATGACTGTAGGCAAAGCACATAATATAGTACTGAGATGCAGAGTAAATCAGTCTACTGAGTTCCACACCACTGCCACTAGACTGCTACTAGTACCCAAGCAAGCTCAGGAATCTAATACAACACTGCAGTCACTATTGTGGCTACAGAATAGGCATTCCCTTGGTTTAGAGAATCTCTGTGCCTTAGTTCCCCATATATAAAAGGAAGATAACTGCATTTCCATATCTCATCATAAGCATAAATTCATTCAATATTGTGAAATATGCAGGCACCATGTTTTTTGGAAAGTACTAGAGAAGGAGTCTTTCAATGAATATGGGAAAGAATTCGCACTTTATAATCTTTCAAAATATTTTAACAATGCCATTATTTTGTGTCCAGAACTTTGACGGCTAAATCTGATTGAGGCCACCCAGTCAATCCAGGATCAGTTTTAAATTATATAATGAATGTATTACAATTATGAGAGATCGTAACACTTCCTCATCTATCTCTATAGTCATTTCAGTATTTCCTTATGCCTCCAAACTTTTCAAAATTATAGCATCCTAGACATCACACTCATAGACAACAGATTAAATGATTTTCCATTTCTTTTGTTTCTTTTCTTTTGCTTCTTCCTGAACTGTATGTACTTCATATGCTCTGGGATTTGAATGCCAAGTCTTGACAATGACCAGCAAGATAATATCAACCAAGAGAGCAATGACACACCCTTGTAGTTCCACTTATAAAAGGTCATGATCATATGAGACACTAGTCAATCATATCATCAGATAAAAAACCCCAATGCTGGGACCTGGTGATAAACATTTGTTTCCAAACAATATAGTTTATTACATGACTAATGTTCATGTGATCTCAAAATAAGTAACATAATATTAAAAACAACAACATTTTTTTATCACAGTATTAGGAATATTGCATTCAGGAGAAAGATGATCACAGCATTTAGACTGCTCTTTCTGTTATATCTAACCAGAAATGGTGTATAAAATAGTAATTTAATTTTTATGCACAGGTAATTGATAATTTAAGACAAGTTTATAAAGTGTGCTTCTCTAGTATAAGGGCAAAGCCCATTTCAGAACTATAAGCCAACTCTGTAGACAACCAAGCTGGGATTGTGCAATTCATCTCATGCTTTTGACATTTTTACTCTATGGAATAGCAGGGGGGGTTTCTTTTAAAGGTAAGTGAGCTAACTGTTCAAACTATTTTCACACTGGTACCTACAGCTGAACTGTTGCGATTGTCAGCCCCATCTCCATACTGAGAAACAGAATTAATGGCGCAGATTTTGTTCAAGAAAAAGCAACCAGCCCACTAAGGACTGCAGCCTTGTGGCACATAGGATACTTGTCACAAGGCAAAAAGGTAATCCACACTCAAAAAATGCTGTGCTGCATAAGTATTTTCTAGTCTGTCTTCTCTCCACCACATTTAGAGCAAATTAAAACTGGACTAGAAAATAGAGGAAGGATGATTAATTTTTTTGGTGCATGGGCCTACAACTCAGGAAACTTGGAGCCAGTTCCCAGATTCAACTGCCACAGACTTCCTGTGTTGCCTTTGTCAAATCATTCAGTCTCTCTATGCCTCAGTTCCTTATCTGCAAAAATGGGGTAATGACATTTCCTTGCTTCAAAAAGGGGGAAGGGGACAGATTGAAGTGACTTGACATCTCTGTGAGGCTATGATATGGATGTTCATAGATTCATAGATGTTAGGGGCTGCAAAGGACCTTACAAGATCATCAGGGTCCAACCCCCTGCACTTGGGCAGGAAAGACTGCTGGGATCAGAGAACCCCAGGAAGGTGTTCATACCCAGTTAAATGAAATAAATAATTATATATACAGTAGAATAAAGAATATAACAAGTTCATACCCTCCAAACAAGACCATTCACAAAAAGCAGGCATCTGGACACATTTAAAAGACTGACAGGTCCACTGAGAGGAACACAAGGGCACACCCACTCCTTGGAGGTGTTGCATTTGATTCTTTGATTTAGCTGAAATACATGCACAACTGTATGTGGCTTATTCTATCATTTTGGTAAGTGGAGGGAAAAACAGATTGTGTGAATGATGATCACTCCCCTCCCAGGATATTCTTGGAGACTGGCACTCTAGAGTTCTTTAAAAACATTAAAGGGAAAAGCAGCATGACCTATGGAGGCATCAGTCCTGCTTCTCTGAAAGAAAGGAGGCTAATTGGTCACTTCCCAACAGTACTGCCTAAACTGACTGGGTAAAACATTTTGTTCCCTGAAGATATTAAGACCAGATGGGGAATATCTGGTCTCCCCCAAGAGCAAGTCACAATGCTGGAGGAGACAGGTATTTAGAAAAGTGACCTGGCACAAAGATGCGTTCCTCTACCCAAACTCCTGTGTGGATTTATCTAAGCTACTCACCCATGTTAACTGTTTACCCTTAATTGTCTTTAACTACAGTGAACATATTACTCTAAAATTTCATTTCATTCTATTACAAGCTGCAATGGAACTAAAGTCATCCCCTGACTAAGTTTGCCTTGTCTTAAAAGTGTACTCTGTGAAAGTATACTGGGATCTGTGGCTTCTAAGGTCCAAAAGGAGAACAAGTTCTCAAAACTAAACTCTGTCCCCCCAAGAAGAAATGGTGGATTGTGGAAAGAAACGTGACACACATTTGTCCATCTGTTTGCAGTGCCATTTTGTCATGACTCCATCTCGCTTGTAGCATCTACAGCATTTCTTTACCGCTGGCCACTTTCATTAAATAAAACGCAGGTAAAAAATATTATATACAAGCCAGTACTGTGTATCATTCATCAATTATGAGAAAGGTTTCAGTACAGTGGGAAAGGGTCATTTTACAAGTGCTGCAGAATCTATGAACAGATAAAAGTTACATTCAGCCCTAAGTACTGAAGAATACACATAAAAGGAGACCTCCCAGAAAGATGGCAGAAAGATCAAACTAAGGCAAAAAGAAGGAAGGCAGAAATGGAGACTCAAGCAAATATTGCTTTAAAGCAGAGCTGTTTTCCAGCACATCCTCCATGCTGTATATTTGCCAACACTCCATCTTGGCAACCAAGCATCTTGTTTTGTGACACCCTTCACCATCTATTTTAAAAAGCTTCTAAGCCTGATCAGTGGCTGGCAACAAGAACCCCAGTGAAGTGTGATATAAAAAAGGATCCTTCCTGAAATGTGAGCCTCTTCCCTTTCTCATTTTAAATGTGTAAGAGGGAAGGCCTCTGGTCACAAACTTAATTGCAGAAGCATATTGTTTTAAACTGAAGAGGGATTTCTCCACTGAATCAGTCATTTTATTTCTAACTAAAAAATGTTGGCTACTTCAGAAAATGCACAGCAGGAACATTAATGTAGAAACTAACATTGCACAAAGTCATACAAAACAAATGCATGTACAAACGCATGTGCATACGAGGACCATGGGCAAAGGCTATGATTTTGCTGAAATACATGCATAGTTACAAATTTCCAATTTCAGTTTACTCCATTACTCTGCATAAGAAAAAGAGCAAGATACATTGTAGGTCTTACAGGCCTGATCACCGTGCAAGAATCACCCATGATGAACTCCTACATTTTGGGAGGCCTGTACATCTTTTCTCGCTGTTTTCATGACGGCTTTTGCTCCATCCTGGCAACCCCAGAAGAGTGTTTCTTTGACACAGCACCTACCCAATACACAGAAACAAAGTTAAACAAGTCTCTCCCATGATCACATATCCCACATACATTATCCCTTTCCCCATCCTGCACCCAAAGCCTCAAGTGTTAGAGGCTGCAAGTCTGCTTTAGCCTCTGGCAAGCCCTCTGAAATGAACATTTTCATAGAATCCAGAAAAAAGCAAAAATGAAGAGTTTTGACCAGCCTCTTCAAATATATACATTTGTTTTAGTCATATCCATTAAATACATGTATAATAGAAGATGTTGTAACTACATGATAAGCATTTCCTAGTAAGGTATTTTATAAAACACCATGTAAATAAATGCAATTAGAATACTAAAATTATTTGTTCCTATTAGAAATTATCTTAGAGTACATATTCTGTATGCATTTAGTACAGAAATTCTAGAAGCACAGAGGGATTTGGATGTTTACCAGGTTTGTTTACTAGGGAAGTTGCTGCAAAATTATGCTGTAGAACCAAGCTATTATTAAAAGAGGGAGAGGGGAAAAGAGAGGCTGCCTGCCCTTATGGTTGCAAACATGTGTCTCTAGTGGGTTATGGAATAGAGAAAATCCCACACAATTTACTGATTCGTTTTGATGCACTGGCTGGGGGAGTAGTTAGCTGATTGCACGATTTCACAATGATTACACACTTAATTTATACAACACAATTTCATTTTAAAACTCTTTGCTACGTATATAACACTGCTTAGCTTTAAGAAACACCACAAACATTAAAAACACAATAATTACATATATCAGAAACAATGCTCCGAATGCATTTCCTTCCCAAACAATGCTATAAGAATTAGTGTTACAAAAACAACTACAATTACAACTAAAAGTTAAATTTGAATCAATACTATTATTTTTCATAATATACTTACAATCCTAGAATTCCGAGAAGCCAAATACCAAAATATGGTTTCATTCCTCAGTAGTACGATTTAATGGGTTGGCCTCAGTAGTACGATTCAATGAGCTGGGCTCAGCAGTGATAGGACTACGTCCCCTTCCTTCAGTCCCTTTCGGGCGCTCCGCGGCTTCAGCGTGAACTAAGAGATTCGTGTTCACGGAGAGGTTGGATTAGGTGATCAATCTAATCCGACCTTACACTTGCGATTCTTCCTTCGTTGTTCTGCAAGTGAAGTCACCTCCAAATTGGGACAGTAAGTTACAGGTTTTTATTGAGTGAGCTGCCGTCATTGGGCTCCTCCTACTCAACTTATCATACCTCCCAAATTTGGGCTCGGATCTTACTCAACAGAAATTACCTTTGTTGAGCATTTTTAAATTATTCTTGGGGAGACTTCCATATCACTGTAAATACTCTTTTCTTAGCAATTTGGTTAAAAGGCCTTAGGCTTTGATGTCTCGGAATTCAGGATATTTGCTTTCTTTGTAAAAAACTTCTAAAGATACAATTTAAATTAAGGCTTTAAGTGAAGTCAAGACATTTCGCACGTAGCTCCGAAACAATGAGCTAGATAAGGATAAAGATAAATCCTATCTTCTTCCTGAAACTGGCTAATGGGCAACCTTTACAAACATTCAAACTATTTCATTCAATATGACAACATGTAAACCAAGTATAAATCAATGTACTGTCTGTCTTCCTTAATCTGCAGAAAGGAAATAGTTGCTAAGAGATGTAAACTAATCTCCTTCATCTTAAATGGAAAAATTTTTGAAAACCAAAGATAAATTTAAACATCAGTGTTTCACTGTTAATTATTTTAACGAGACACCGAGTTAATGTGCTTGTTCAAAGCCCACGATTATGAATTGTCAAAGTGAATTCTCAAAGAACTGAACTATATTTTTTCAGCCCCAGAATGGGTATGTAAGACATACAGCACATTTGTAAAGATTATTCTGTAAAGAATGCCTAATCAAATTCAGCAACAGCAATGAGAAATGCACTTTTTATTATCAACACATAGGATATGCAAAGGTTTCAGGTGATCTATACACCAAAAAGTATTATTTGAATGTCATAAAGAAACACGCATAAAGCACCCCTAAATGGTGCTGGCTGTAGCTGGTCTGTTTTGACAACAGAAATAACAAGTCTAGTTGGATGATTGAAGAACCAGCGGTATCATGGATTCACAAGGCCTACCGCCTCAGCAGGGCACTGAGATGTTCATTGGAAGCCTGCTGCTTGGTGTCATCTGCAAATTTGCTGAGGGTGCATTCTATGTCATCTTCCAGGTCATTGATGAAAATATTGAACAGAACCGGCCCCAGAACTGGCACCTGGGACCCTCCACTTGATACTGGCTGCCAACTAGACACCAAGCCATTGATTACTACCCTTTGAGCCCAATGCTCCAGCCAGTTTTCTATCCACCTTGCATTCCATTCATCCAGCCCATACTACCTTAGCTTGCCTGCAAGAATGTTGTGGGAGACAGTATCGAAAGCCTTGCTAAAATCAAGGTATACCACATCCCTCATCCATAAAGCTAGTTAACTCATCATAGAAGGCAATCAGGTTGGTCAGGCATGACTTGCCCTCGGTGAATCCATGCCAACTGTTCCTTATCACCATCTTTTTCTCCAAGTGCTTAGAAATGGATTCCTTGAGGACCTGCTCCATGATTTTTCTAGGGACTAAGGTGAGGTTGACGAGCCTATAGTTTCCTGGATCCTCCTTTTTCCCTTTCTTAAATATGGGCACTAGATTTGCCCTTTTCCAAACATCCAGGGCTTCTCCTGATTGCCATGCATTTTCTAAGATGATGCCCAGTGGCTGTGCAATCACATCAGCCAACTCCCTCAGTACCCTTGGGTGTATCCCTAACTGGCCCCATGGACTTCTACATGTCCAGCTTTTCTAAATAGTCCCTAACCTGTTCTTTCATCAGTGCTGGCTGCTCACCTCCTCCCCAAACTGTGCTGCCAGGTACAGTAGTCTGGGAGCTGACATTGCCTGTGAAGACTAAGGGGAAAAAGGCATGGAGTACTTCAGCCTTTTCTGCATCCTCTGTCACTAGGTTGCTTCCCCCATTCAGTAAGGGACCCACCCTACATGCTGTGTCTCCTTTTCCTGCTTTCTTTATTGAAAAAGTACCAGAATCTGGCTGTTTTTCTATGCTACAAACAGCATTAGATTACCAAAACAATTTTAAAATGCAAGCCAGGCTATTTACACTGCATGTCCCTCCCCTAAAAGAGATTTAGCCAATTAAGGTGGTAGGGGTGGAGCTATAGTATACATTAAGTATGGGTGTTAGTATTGCATGTAGCCTTATGCAGTCATTCTGTGTAATCTCTTGGGTGCAATGAGTGAGACAATATTTAACAGAAATCTGACTCATTCAGTCATCAAGTTCACAGTGAGAGTCCAAAAGCTATTAAGGAATACTTCTCATGCACTGTTCACTGACCATTCTGTTTGCTAAATGAGGCAAGGATCCTCCAAATAGGTTCAAAGTCTTATTTATTTAGATTGCATCATTATCATCACTACTATTATTACTAAAGTACCTTGGAGCCTTGTGCTAAGCACTGCACACAAAAAAGACAATCCCAGCCCCAAAGAGTTTACAGTCTTAAGATGAAAGGGAACAGTTCAATAGAGACAGCAGGGAAAGTACAAGGAGCAAGTGAGAATGGAGGGGGACTAAGGATATACAGACAACTTTAACCGTGTCTTTGTCATGTTCTGACTTCCAAGTGCTTCAGTGTCCATTCTTGATGTTCTTTAACAGTTTCCTGTCCATGGACTAATTCAGTAGCAAGCGTGTGAAGTTACATATGCTGATGAAGGAATAATAAAAAGTACAAAAGTTTGATCTAGTCCAGGGGTGGGAAAAATATGGCCCGTGGGGAGGGAGGCCATTCTATCCAGCCTGTGGGGCCCCTAAAAAAATGTCAAAAATTAATATTCATCTGCCCTTTGTTCCTGTCCGGTAGCCAGTAGGCTCCCACAACAGCAGAGCCCTCCCGGCCCTGCCCCCCCCCCCCCCCCAGCCAGAAGCTCCTGCTGGGGCTTCTGGCCTGGGAGCACATGGCTGCCCCTCACCAGAACCTCAGGTAAGGGGGGTGGGAAAAGGGCAGGGGCAGACCCCAGGGAGGGAAGGAGCGTGGGGGGGGAGGCAGTCCCTCCCCCACCCCGTGCCCTGCGCTGCAGCTGCTGGCATCCCACCTGGGGCTGCCTGTGCCTGCTCCAGACAGCCCCGTGTGGGCTGAGAGCAGCTGCAGCAGGGAGCACCAGTCACAGGGTGGGGGAGGGGCCGCTTTCCCCCCACGTGCTCAGCTTCTCCCTGGGCTCCTTCCCTTCTCCTTCTCAGTGCTGAGGAAAGCGGCCCCTCACCCACCCCATGACCCACGCGGGGCTGTCCAGAGCAGGCACAGGCAGCCCCAGGCAGGCTGCAAGCAGCTGCAGTGTGGGGCACCAGGCATGGGGCGGGGAGGGGCTGCTTCCCCCCCCAGCGCTCAGCACCACCCTGTAACCCGGCCCTGCTGCCAGCCTGGGATCCATGCCAGCTCCAGGCTCACCCGTCAGGGCTGCGTGGGCTGCGAGCGCCTGCAGCAGGGAGCGCCAGCCATGGGGCATGTGAGGTGCCACTTTTCCCCATGCTCAGCACAAGCTTTTTCCCTACCAGTGAGCACGGGGCCCACACTGGTGTCCCAGGGCCATTGCTGGCGGGGCCCATAGCAGGGTGGCAGGAGTACAGGGTCCCGGCCGGCAGGGAGTCTATGGAGCTGGGCCAGCTCCCTCCTCTCCCTGCTGGTGCAGCTCAGCCTGGTTCCACAGACCCCTGCCAGTCTGCACTCTGCTTTGGGCCCCACCAGTTCTGGCCCTGGGACATTGGTCCCAAGAAGGTGGCCAGGGGGCGAGGCACCTGTCAAGGGGCAGGGCTACCCATGCAGCCCTCGACAGCCTGCCAAAACTGGGTAAATGGCCCTCTGCCCAAAATAATTGCCCACCCCTGATCTAGTCCCATATGGAATGCTTTCTTGAACCTCTTCAGTGTAGAAATAGAGCTC